CGCCCTGGACACGGGGGCTTGTGGTCTCATTGCTGCCGCAGGCGTCAGCTGCTCTGCCAGGCCTGGCCCTGGTAGCCGTGCGCGTGGGGCTGGCGGGGCGAGTCGGGTTGGCCAAAAATTGAATTAAAATACAAAAACACAGCGAGCTTCCCAGTGTGCACGTGGAGGGGTTAGCTCTGACCCAGCTTCCCTGCAGCAGCTTGATGACAAGAAGTTTGGGGAGGATCTGTCCCGTTTTTAGATGAGCTTTGCGGCCTGAGGAGCTGCAGCCAAAAGTCTTTGGGGCTGCCCAAAGGGCAGGACCTTTCCCGTCGCCTCCGGCGCTTCCCTGCCAGGGTTAGGTAACTGACGTGTCTGCAAAATAAATAGCAATGAGCTGTGCAAAATAAATAGCAATGAGCACATGTGGGGCTAACAGCAGTAGCGGTGGGGTGAGGGGTGGGAAGGGGCAGGGCTGCCCCTTGGAGCTTGGGGATGAGCTGGGGTCGCTTTGGGCAATTGTGAAACTTTGTGTCCCCCGCCTCCGGCAGCAGGTTTGTGCCGTTCTCGGGGAGGCGGCCATCCTGGGCGATGCTGAGTGCCACAAAGACTGTGTGTGGAGCTCTAAGCCAGGAAAGCAACCAGGGAAGTGAAAACACGGAGGATACCGCTCGCTCGCTAAGCCCTGGTTATTGCTTCAGATACATAAAGCATGTGGGAAAATCAGAACTGACTCTGTGCTGGTCTCCCAGGCACCTTGCCCAGAGCGGGGAGGAACTTGTCGTGACTTCTTTTGGCTCCCAAGCTCCTTTTGCTAGCGGGTACCTTGGAAAGGTCTTTCTGGAACAGTCCACAGAGCCTTGCTACATCCAGGGAGAAGCAAGGAAATGACTGACATCAGGCCTCACTCAGGTCCAAGACTGGTTTTTCTGCTTGGCTGCCATGTGCCTTTGGAGGTGTCATGCAGCTGCGATACGAGCGGATGGGTTTCCTGCGCTTAAGAGTCAAAATGATCCCTAGCTCGGGCTTGGTTCATAGGTAAGAAATGTCACTGCTGTCCCCCTCCCTGCTCCGCAGTCGGAAAAACCAGGCTAAGGCTTCCTGCCTTGCAGGAGGAATTAATAAGCGTTAAATGCTCCAGAAACGCTTATTGCGAGGGCTAATTGCTCGTGCTCCCTGCGGAGCTCGTCCTCAGCAGAGGAGCGGAGCGGCGCTCCCTCCTCTGCCTGCCCTTCGCAGGCCCCGTGGCGGGGTGGCACGGCCGCGCTCGCACTTCCCGGCCCTGGCTGCGTCGGCAGAGGCGGCAGCGTGATGGATGAGTTTGGCTGGGCGTGTAGCAGGTATGTGACTGGAAATACTTAGGGATGCATCCGTCGCCGCCGTGAGAGGTGCAGGCTCTGGGAGCAGCCGCTCGCCGCCTTTCTCCCCCGGAGACATCCCAGATTGGCTGTCTGCGTGGAGCCGAAGGGTCTTCGGGAGGGCTGCTGCCAAAGAGACGTTCTGCTGGGGCCAGAATCTTTCATGAATGGGTGAATTGGAGTTGCCAAATGGTTTGGGTTGGGGAGAATTTGAAAAATCCAAAGCACTCATTCTGGTGCCTTCAAAGCCAAGTGACTGAAAATTTTCTGTTTGAAAGAGATTTTAATGGTTTGGAATTGTTGATTTTTTTGAAATCTTTTGTCAGGGATAAGCATGAAATATTACCTTTCTAGTCATAATTGCACCCTAATATCTCTCTTCCACCAACCAAACTGATCAGCATGACCTCTCGAGAGCCCCGTCTGCATTCCGTGTCTTCGTTGCTTTTGAGTGTGCCGATTTTTTTGTCTTTTGCCAAGCACATTATCCATTCTTTCCTGCCTTTGACAGAAGCTTTGGCGTTTGTGTGGAAATTCCGTTTCTTCTTTCAAGTTAGCTGAGCAGAGAAAGGATTCCCGTTGTTAGGGTTTGTTTTGGGAGGAGAGACAGGATGAGGTGGGTGGAGGAGTGTCTCTCGTTCCTGCGTGCTAAGGCAGGGAGGCTTGTTCTGAAGGCTCGTTTTGTTCGGCTGAGCCACCAGCGCGGTCGCACCGTGTCTAAACAAGAGCTGGGGATGCCAGGAGCCAGGAAATGCCTCGTTCCGCAGCCGGAGGCAGCGCTGCTTTGGCGCTGGCCCTCCCGCCCGCTCCGGTGGCGAGCGCTGTCGCTGCAGAGCCTTGTGCGTCACGGGCTGAGCAGCGCTGCTCGCCGAGGGAGGCCTCCCCGGCCGGGAAGTGACAGCGTCTCCCTTTCAGCGGCTGCTGGTGGTAACTTATTTATTTATTTTTTTTTCCAAGTAGATCCAATGCCATTGGCTGATGGGCTGTATCTCCAGTGAAATGGGTCTGAAGCCAACCCAGCCGCACACGATTTTTATTCTTTAGCCCTGGAATGACGTTTGTATTTCCAAAAGAGTGAGGCCTGGAGGGTTGGATCCAGTTATCCATAATCTACCTAGGCTTCCGGCTCCTCCCTTTCTGATAAAGCAGAGGGCAATGGAGTTGTGCTGGCTTCCGAGGGAGCCATCTGCAGAGCCTGGAGTCCTCTGTCCAAGGGCACCTCCGTCACCACCACCTCGGCACAGAGCCCCTTCTGCTGCGTGAACGCTGAGAGCGGTCCCTGCAGCATCCAACACCTATAGTGAATCTGATACGCTCTATGACTGCGATGTGTTACATAAAACTACGTTTAATATTCCATTTGTGTTATTTTTAGAGGTTTATTGGGCACATAGGCTTCTGTGTGAGGGCACTTGGTTATCTAACTTCTAGGATCTGAGCACAAAGAGCAGCAGAAGTAAAACGCTTGTGAGGTAGGTCTTGGAATTAGGATGATGGGCGGTAACAGCGTCTCTTTGACTCCTGAAGACTTTTATCTTTGCACTTGAGCAGGGTGGCAGTACCGGCTCACCTTAAGCAAAAGGCTTTCAACTCTCCAAAATCTACAGAAATTGATATATATATTTTTTTCCCTGTCCTTTTCAACGTAAGTTGAACATTTGACGTTTGTAAACGATACAGGCAAGGTAGCGCTTGCAATGCCAGGCTCCCGACGTGACTGCTGTTTGCTTTTCCAATAACCCAGCGTGTTTATCTCTCTGTGCTTCCTACCTTCTTAGCTTTTAGAGATTAAAATTGCTTTGTTTTCCGGTGAGTTGAAGTACTTATGTTGACATTCCATGTCTCTTAGCTTTCTGCCTTTTTTTTTTCCCCCCTTTTCCATAACCCAGACCTCCAAGGTTTTGCGCTGATAACATGTGCTTCTGAAGATGTCTTTCCTACCCACTTAGGTCTGTGTCAAGCATTGTCAAAATTTATGCAGATCCCAAAGTGCCACCTTCCTGTTTGTGCTGAGATTTGAGTATGGCCAGGAAAAGGAACAATAACTTCCAGGGAACTTTTGTCTTCCATATAGAATTGGTTGCTATATTGGTTAGTTTGGGAATGCTTGGAATGAGCTAGTGGTGAAACTGCTCTTGAAGTGACTGTCTAGCAAGTGTTTCCTGCGTTGTTATTGAGAGCTGCAGGCAGATTCTCTGGACAGCTCATGTTGTGCCCGTACGCTGCTGGTAAATGATCCCAAACTGTAGCGTTACAGTGTACCAGTTGCCCAGATTTTTGGAAGACCAGTTTCCCCGCTTACAGTAAGTACATTAGCTGCTGGAAATTTTCCCAAGTCTGGGAGATGGAGATGACTCTAAGTGCTCTGCAGTTGCTTTCTAACGAGGGTCGAACATGTTGCAAAGATTTTGCTTTGCTCTGGTGTCGTTCATGGCAAGTACCCAGCTTGGCTGTGCATTGGCTTAAGAGAGCAAATAGATGGTTTGCAGGATGGTAACACAGAGCTTGCATTAAACCCTGCAGGAACCTGACCGTGAGACGTGTCGCCTGCTGCACGTGGCTGAAGTCCACTCTCGTTGGAACTGACGTGTTTGTTTTTCCCTTTTTCCATAACTTTGCTTAATGTGCTGCTTGCAATGAGCCTTCTGAAACGTTCTCAAAATAATCAATCATTGCACCATAAACCCGTAGCATCCTCCCATCTGTTGCTTTATGCTGCTTTTTTTCCCTTCACTTTCCCCCCCTTATTCTAATGATTTCTTTGTGTGAGCCTACCCCTCTGTGCCACGTTGTGATAATGCCGCGTTCTCCCATGCTCGATGACAAGACGCTCAAGAACGTAGACGTTTTGGGGGGTGGGGGCCGGGGCACACATACCCTCACAGCATCCCAACAGTACGGCTCTGTTGCCTCTTAGTTTGCCTGAACAAAAGATCTTTAGGATGCCTGTTACATGCTAATGGAAATGGATTACTGAGCCTAGCTGTGCTGTGGAGTGTGCTTAGCCAGGATGCTCCCTGGGCTAGTAAGTGCCAGGTCAACCCTTCACGCGGTGGCAGGAGCTGTTCCCAGTCGGACGTGGAAAGGCGCTTGGCTTTGGTGGCTGTGCAGGATGCGCAAGGCATGTTTGCCCGGCTCTTAAAAGCTTTGACCTTGGCTGCGGGCTGTGTTGGGGCAGGGTGACACGGCGATGCGCTCAGCGCTGTCACCTGAGAAAGCCGCAGGCGCCTGCTGCGCTCCGGGCGCGCTGGGCTCGAGTGCCCGTGGCCGCTTGCGCGGTGCCGCGCGACAGCCGATTAACGGCTCTCTCTGGATAGCTTTTCACCATCGGATCGGGTGGCCAGTGTCTCTTGTTTTCGGCCGTTTTGTCCCTGCCCTTCTGCCCGCTGTTTTGGGCAGAGCTGCAATCTGTCTGCCTTGGCTATTCTTTCCTTCTGTGTCAGGGACCTAATCTGTCCTGTGCTTGGGCTGTGCTGGGAGTAGAAAGGAAGGGCTAAATGCAGTGCTGGGTAGCGCTGCCGTCCCTGCCGTGGAGGGGAGGACGGCAGAGCGCAGCTCTCCCATCCCGTAAATCCACAGCCTCCTCCTCGCTCCCCTTTTCCGTGTGGGGATGTTGATGCTGAGGTTGCCCCTCCGCAGCAGGCAGGTTTCCCTCCCAAGGCTCGGAGGAGATGGGAACAGTGTGAGTCACATCCCGCGTGTGTGAGCAGCCCTGGCAGAGCACGCAGGTCGCTGCAAGGACTAATCCTGCCTATTCCTCCGTCCCGCTGCGGGGAGCTTTCACATCTGCTCCTGCAAGAGCAACCCAGCCCGGAGCACGTGCTTGCAGGTAACAAATCTCTTGCTCCACAGGGGACTTAAGAAACTCGTGAAGGTGTTTGCGTATACCTGAGAGGAGAAGCTCTGGCCTGTTTTCTGCTCAATTTTAACACCGTTTAAACCACATGCATCCACTTTTTTTAAGCCCATAATATGTCGTTGTTGTTACAGCGGGGCATAAAAGCTGTCATGTCAGCTGGGCAAGGGGCAAACTCCTGGCCTGCGAGGCAGACTTAGTGTCCAGCTTCCACAAGAACAGCCCTACGTTCCTTCCCAACAGCAGATCCGAGTTGCTATTTAATTGGTGACAGGCGTGCAGCTCTCTAGACTTTGCCCTTGCAAAGTGAAGCCAAAGTTATCTTGGGGCTGCATTGAGACAACTTTGCATGTGGACAACTTTGAAGGC